GGTCTCCAACTTCATGTGAGGCAGGTGGTGCTGGTTTGGCCATCTCCTCCTGAAGGCTCTGCTCCAACACCTTTAAGAGGGGAATGACTTTGGAGGCAGAAACAGTCTCCTCTGCAGAGAGCTCAACAGTAGCATGGTAGAAGGGAATTAGCAAAGAAAGGCACCCTCGTACAATTTCGAACTCCTCTGATGTTAGAATGGGAATGTCAGTCTGTAGTCCAGCTAACGCTGCTCCAACTGGCTCCCGTAACTCCATCAGACGCTGCAACATTAAATAGGTGCTGTTCCATCTGGTTTCCACTTCCTGCATCAGCTTCAACTCTTGTAGCCCCAGATGGCGCTGTACTTGTGAAAGCTTCTCCTGTTAAATACACAGATAAAAAGACAAATCACTGTAGTAATAAAATAATTAGATTTATGATGATCTGTAATAATGGGAAAAAGCATACCTTAACAGTAGTGCTGCTTCTACAGTAGCCAACCAGCTTCCATGCTTTAGCCTGGATGCCAGAGAGCACAGGGTGCTGGTCAAGGGACTTCTTCACCACCAGATTCATTGTGTGGGCGACACAAATATGATGCCGAAGCTTCAGTTCCCTCACACAGGCAACCATATTAGGAGCACCATCAGTCACCACACAAGTCACCTTGTTGGATATTCCCCACTCCTCCATCATGGATTTTTTCACACACGCTATATTTTCAGCAGTATGTGACTGGGGGAATGACTGCACTCCCAGCAGCACAGTATTGAGCCTTGCTTTGTCATCCAGAAAATGACACATTACAGCCAGGTAGGCATCCATGTTCATGAATGTCCACATATCAGTCGTAAGGCTAACAGCAGCCACCTCTCCTACTTTAGCCTTGGCCTTCTGTTTAGCAGACTCAAATTTTTCTTCCACCATGGCCTTTAGAGCCTAAAATAAAAAAAAACATAGAGCTAAATTATAAGGAAAACAAAGTTCTCTTTCATTTAATGAATGCATCAATATATACCTGCCGAGTTGGAAGAACATAATTTGGATCCAATTTTGCCACAAATGCCTTGAATCCAACCCCATCCACAATGCTGAAGGGCTGTGTATCCTTGACAACGAGGTTGACTAGGAGCTCATCCAGCTCTTGCTTCCTGGTGGCTGGTTACAAAGAAATAAATAACAGTGTCCATTACCTGTTTTGGTTTTTAATTTACTCAATAAACAAAATACCATAAAGAAAAATGGCTTTGTGTATGTATACTATTTTAATACCGGTAACTTACCATTTCTGGGCGTGGCTCCAGTGGCCTCCTTATTCTCATGCAGGGCACGGTAATGCCTCAGCATGGAAGAGGTGTTGTTATTGTATCCCAACTCCTTGGAACACAAACCTATGAATCATTAGGAGTTAATGAAAATAAACAACTGTTGGGATAAAAAAAATTTAAGTAGGTTAGATTCAATACATTTACCTTAGTGGGAGAAATCAGGTCGAAATGCTCCCACATAGGTGACATCCTC